CTCCCCAGCACTCTATTGGTCTGGGAGCTGAGCCTGCGTACATCGCGAACGAAGACACCGGTCTTTACACTGCGATCCCCGATGTTGGTCTCTCGGCCAGCTTCAACCCGCTCATGCAGCTGCCTCCGTCAAACCTCGCCGCGCCCCAGTACGGCGCCCGTCCTTTCGGTCCCGGCAACGTCTACTCTGTCATCGAGGGCTCGCCCACGTACAAGCAGAGGAGAAGGCGGTCTTCGATGTCGATTGGCGGCGGCATTGCGGCGGTTGCGGCAGCGAACGCAGCCAACCCGCACGCCGCGCACAGGCCAAGCGACCTGCGCCGGTCTGTCTCGAGCTCCGTGGTGCCGGTTGCGGAGGCGGCAGAGGAGGGCGGCCATGACTCGCCCCAGAGCCTTCACAACGGCTACAACAGCGTCCAGCAGAAGGCCGAGGTTGCTGACGTGTCGAGGCATGGCACACCGCTCGCCACTGTCGAGGGCAGCCCGAACCCGCAGGCCAGTCAGATGCTGTCGCAGGATGACTTCTCCAGTCTGAATGGCGACTATTCCAGCCAGTCCCTTGCCCACGATGCCGTCGTCAGACAAGCGCCCGGCGTTTTCCGCAGGGCCCGCAGCGCCACCATGATGGAGCTTGGCCCGTACCCGCAGAAGTCTCACTCTTGCCCGATTCCCACTTGTGGCCGTCTGTTCAAGAGATTAGAGCATCTCAAGAGGTAAGCGCCCACAGATCGGCGGTTTCATGTACAACGTGTGGATTAACTCGGCGCTTAGGCACGTGCGCACCCACACGCAAGAACGCCCATACGTCTGCCCTCTGTGCAACAAGGCCTTCTCGCGCTCCGACAACCTGGCCCAGTAAGTCCCATACGCGCGGGTTCTAATTTTGGCGCAAAGCTGACAGCCGTCCCCACAGGCACCGTCGCACCCACGAGCCTCGTCAGGAGGGCGACCCGATCGTCAACTTCAGCGAAGACGAAGAAGAGAACGACGAGGGTCTCGGACCCTTGGAGGAAGAGAGCCCCGAGGCGGCCAACGACTACATGCCGTCGCACCTGTCGGTGTCGGCAGCGCTCGCCGATCTCCCCAACCCCATGGCGGCCGTGACGAGTATGGGCCAGTCGCATCATCTGCTCTCGGCCAGCAACTACTAAATCCCGTCGAAGGAGCAATGCCTTGCGGCTGGCTCCAGCTTCGCCTCTCCTATTCTCGTGCTTTTTAATCGCATACTAGACTACGTTCGGTTGGTTTTCCGGCACCTGCATCAAAAGAGTTTTGTGCAGCCTTTGCCGGAGGGACCTGGGTGTTCCTTGGGAATGGTCCGGTCCGGCGAGACCGGTGTCGCACGAACTTCCAAGTGGGCCTGCTCATGACGCCATGACATTACTATTCCATATTGCTTAGCCTTTCATTTTCACGCACACAGACAGTCGTTCCCGGCATCAACGTCTGCGCGCACCCCGCTTCTTCTCCTTGTTCGTCTTCTTCTTCTTCTTCTTCTTCTTCATCTTGTTCTTCTTCTTCGTGTCGATTGTTGCTATCTGCCCTGGAAGTTTTGGAGCGGCAAAAATTGGCGCAAAGTCTTTCACGGTGCGGCGTGGTTCAGAGTCGCGAGCATCTAGAGCGCTTTTATGTTTTGATTTGGACTCACCCTCTTGTTCATTCTCCTTATGGTTATCTCATGGGTTCGTAGTTGGCTTGCTGTTTTCTTTGGGTGGAAATCTGCTCCGGAGCTGGGGATCAGGGCTATGGATGGGAACTCGGACGTACGCGGGCGAGCTTCACCACCAGGATGGAGAGGATTGGAAAGACCAAGCCACCGCACAGCGGTTGGCGTTGTCCTCTCCGTGGGCTTCTTGAGGGTAGGGATTGTATCATAGCTGCGGAAGGAGCTATGTCTCGTTTTCCCAATCAGTCAACGACCAAATACAAAAAAACAAAATGTCTACCAAACCGGGTCGCCACTCGCATCACCGTGCATGTTGATGGATCCAACGTCGCTCTCGGTCGAGTATGGATCTGTCGTGAGTACTTGCCGTCTGCTGCTGTCTGCTGCAGAGCGCGCTCTGTCGGGCGGCGCTGGGTCATGCATGAGCTCTGAGGCGCGTAGGGTCACACACCCCGGACACCGCTGGGCCCGCGAACCCGTCCGCTGGGCAATGCGATGCGAGCAAAACTTGGACAGCGCAGGAAGGTAAGTGTCCGTGAGAGAAACCGGAAACCCACATATCTGACCCATCCCATCTCGTCCTTGGCCTGCCTGCCTCTTCTCCACAAAAAGCAAAACAGCTGCGACGGGGTATCTTCTGCTACGTGCGGCCTCGATGGAAAGAAAAAGCGAACACCTTCCATCGCTACAACTTACTTCCCGGATTCTGAGTGTCAAAACAGGTCCGTCTGCCCGTGTGCAATTACCAAGAAAGAAAAAAAAAAAAAGACATATCAAGTGACAGATCAGGGCGGCCGGACAGGGAGAGTGGTCAAAACAAGGCGGCAGTGATCAAGCACGGTTTCTTTTTTTTTTTTCTTTTTTTCCCCTTGGCGGCACGTGGAAAGCATTGCTGATGTGATGTATAATGTGTGTTGTGCACGTGGCTAAAGGTTACTTGCAACAAGAGTCGATGGCGTGCATGGCACGTACATACATACGAGGCGAGGCGAGCGGCTCCGGAGGAGGAGGACGAGAGACGGAGAGAGACGGAGAGACGGAAAAGACATTCACGTCAGCTCCGCTCCGTACGTAGGTACCCTTGTTTCTCCGCGGCGGGTAAGCTGTGACGGGGAAATGTGCACAGATGGTCGGGATGGGGCCGGGGGGGATCGGCAAGTCGAGCCGCGAGAGATGGATATGGAGATAATGGCGCGCCAAAACACACACACACACATACATCATACCGCCGAAGCGGTATCGCGGTGGCTGGGAGGGGAGGGGAGTGGGGTGGGGGGAGGAGGAAAAGACGCTGGGGGATTGCCAGGACGGACGGGGGGCGGAAAGGGCTGCTGAGTGGTGCCAAGGATATATTCCAGGGTTTCGGGGTGGCCTGGGGGGCTGCGATGGTGAAACCAGCACCACCAGCCGCCCAACCCAACGTGGACCCTGTTTGGTGCTTTCGCCTAAGACGCGCGCGGTGGCGCCGCGGCCAGGCTTGGGTTTCGAATTGGGCCCAGATCTCGGGATTCGCGGTGGAGCTGGGCGAGCCCGGGTCTGATCGCCGCAGGCTTTGTTCGTTTGGGTCGCGGGGGGAATCCATCGCGTGAAGTGAGGCAGACCTGAGGTTGCGATTGGGGGAAACCTTGCAGGCGCCCCAGCTTGGGCTCGGCCCGTCGTCTGTTTGGGGTTTGCGGTTTTGGCGCCCTTCTCCTCTTCGGTTGCGAGTGCTGCGTGCGCGTGAAGAAACCCATCACAGCGCTTATGTGAAAGCGCCGAGCGGCAAGAGCTTATCTTGACTGGTCGGTGAGATGGATTGGTCACCTCGTCATGTAGGGTGACCACTCTACGCGCGAAGGGCGGACCAGAAGCGGCGATTGGGCCGTGATGGGCTTATGGCTTGGTCACATTCAACGTGTTGTTGCGTGATATCAACAAAAGACATGGTGCACCGGCTATACGATGAAGCGAGTGTACGAGCGGGGTCTGTTGATCCTGAGACAACGTGCCTGTCGGTGAGTAGAGTGGATTGGGATGCGGCTTGGAGAAGTGTATCATCATGGAATTTCCGAGACCAGAGGAACACGACCACACCGTGCCTCTGCTTCTGCAGCGCCACGCAACATGGGTGTGTTCCGAGCAGGAGCAACCCAATAGTCGTCTGAAAGACGTGGCAAGCCCATCACCAAGTGGGCAAATCTGCATAAGCAGAGTATGTGTATTTGTCAACGACCCATTGATACTCTAGAGCGAGAAGCACCTTTTTTCTTCGACACCTGCCGTGGCTTGCACATTGACAGGACTACAGTGTCCCCTGAGACCCAGCCAAGGAAATACAGCATTTATGTTTCCCATCGCTATTACCGATCAGAAGACATTGCGGAGCCACATGAGTCAATGAGACAAGACCATGATCATGGCTCAGTTCAACCATGTCGACAGTCATTTGCTTGAAATACGACATCGGAAGGTGGGAAACATACTACACTCCGGTGCGAGTGGTGAGTCGTTGAGGACGGCGGCCGGTGCGCACGTCTCACTGCATGCATGTCAAGTGCAGCACGGTTCTGGTCCACCACTCGACCCGACGCTTTTTCACAACAGCTCACTCAAAGACACCTCGTAATATCCACGCGTAGCCGAAGCAAGACCGCCGCTCACTCCTTTGGAGTTACTTTGAAGAAATCCAGTCATCTTTTCCATTCCCTTTCCCACCCCGTGACAGAATACTCGACATGCATGGTTCCTACTGGCCCGACGTACGGCTTGTGGTATGCATAGAGGCGATTGAGCTGGATTACACATCGTGGCCTAAGCTCCCAATGGGCATTGACTTACCTGATAGTCTCCGGACAAAATACTGGGCAAAACCAAAGTAAGATATTTGACAGAGGAGCGCTGGCTAAGTATTACTCTCTGTCCGCTCACATTCAATATATTTTTGACGACTGTTTTTCACGTGACTGTGTACCCTTTCATTCCTACAGTGTCACATGTGAAGCAAACGCAAAGCCGGACAAGTGCGTAAGGGACCCCGCATGAACGCCACATGTCTCTAGACAAGCTAGTCCGCGCCGCAAACGGCATCGCTGCTCGCCCACGCGCATGAGACTGCCCAAGTCGCGACTGGTGCCACCCGCTTTGTCGTTTCCCAGCTCCCCACGGCTGCCTGAACGGTCATGCAATAATTATAGCATCTTGCAAACGGCCTTCCGCGACACCCCCGCTGACGTAGGGCCGAACACCTTTCTCTGCGCCATTGCAATATAGAATCCCTTTGCCACCCCAGTTCAGCTCTATAGTCTATACTGTCAAACCAGACGTACACTGAGCAGCATCACATCTGCTCCCGTGCCATGTCTTCCCAACAAGATCTCCACAGGGATGCGATGCAGCAAGGCCTGAACAGCCAGGCAAAAAAGGGCCACAAGTCCACCACGGACAATCAAGGTGTGCCGTGCCCGACGAGCCATCCTGCACGAAGCGCTTCAGCTCCAACCTCCCGCTTTTCCTCCTCCCCCTCCACCACTGACACGCGCATGCGCAGACGCCATGAGCGAAGGGCTGAAGCAGAAGTCGTCGTCGCCTGGCGGAGGAGATGCGTTCTACGGAAAGCAGGCGGATGAGGAGATCAAGAGACCTGCGGGTGCTCGGACGGGCGGGTAGGGATTCTCCTTAATTCTCTTTTCAACCCATCGACAGATCTGCTCTCCTCCATCACACCCTTGCTTTGGTGGTTGCGCATCTTACTTCGGATCTCTAAGGGCCGTGGGCTGACTTGTCATGTTTCGAAGACTTAATCAGGTTTCGGGACCGTATTTAGGGATAGCTCTTTAGTAATGCAGAGGTTTCTCGTCAGCTTGAGTGGTATATGGATAAATAGTCTTATTTTTCTATGACAAAATTAGTCTTCGGAGCCCCAGAGCGGCCGAAGCGATTGAGTTTGAAGCTTGACAGGTTGAAGTAGAGGTGGTCCTTGCTACTGGATCTGAGGCCAAAATGATTGGGAAGTGCATTGGTGGTGACGGAAAACGGCACCACTATTGGCATTAGATCATCAATCAGAAAGAGCCTGGTTGAGATCCGAAAATATTAAGCCTCGTCGCCTTCAAAATCGGCCTCGCGATACGACTACGCCGCTGGCTCCTCCGGTAAAGCCGAAAGATATCCGATGTATCAAGGCGTGAGAGCAGTTCTAACTGGAAAGGTTAACCTTCATGCGAACCGAGGGCCTGGAAGCTACAAAGATGGTGGTGAGTGTCAATTTGAATGTGTACTACCTGGAAATCCCAATGTAACTCGCTCTTTTTGTTGCTTGCCATGACGGAAAAGGACAACAAGAGAGTGTAGCCGAGTGTGAGAACCGAACCAAACCCCGATTTGTCCGTCTAGGAATATCGACGCATTCTAATGATGCTTCCAATCTGATCCTGAGATCTCCCAGTCTGATACTGAAATCTCCTAGTCAATGAGTCGAGAAGGGTGACGAATCCAAGTCTTACCAAACCGCAGAAACCAATCATCTCCGCTGGACTTCCTAAAAACCCGAAACTCAAGGCATAAATCAAAACCGTCTTCTCATCATCACGTGTGCACCGAAGCAGTCACTCAACCCTTCAAGTCCAACTCCTTCTTCCTCGGCAGCCTGGTCTCGCCCTCTACGTACGGCATGCCAGCCTCCTCTCTCGCCATGTCATTGATCCACTTCGATTCGGGCAGAAGCGTCTTGCCCTGGGCCAAGCTGTCGGCCATGTACAGCCACGCCAACGCGTTGCCAACGGTACTCACCTCGTCACTGACGTGCTTGGCGGCGTACTCGGACATGTCCTGGTACAGCTCGCTGTCCGAGAAGAGCTGGTACAGATGCTTCGCGACGGCCTTGTAGTCGCCCGGCTCGACGAGGAAGCCCGACTTCTTGTCCTGCACCTGGAGTGGGATGCCGCCTGCCTTGGTCGCGATGATGGGAATGCCCTTGTGCACGGCTTCCGAGACCTTGACTTCGAAACCCTCGCGCGTGGACAGCTGGAGGGCGACCTTGGCGTTGGACATCAGGGCGTTGAGCTGCTGGTCGCTGGGACCGAGGCGCATGACGACGATGTCCTCGGCGATGTCGCTGTATTTCCCCTCTAGGAGGGAAAGCGTTTGGTCCAGGATCATAGAGCCATCCGGGTCGTCGACGGCGCCGTGGCCAGCAATGACGAGCTGAGGCGTCTTCTGACGTGGCCAACCTTTGAGGTAGTTTCGGCGGAGTTCGGCGTAGGAAGCGAGCACATCTGGGATGCCCTTCGCTGGGTCGAAGCGGGCGATTTGGGCAATGTATTGACGGCGGGGGAAGTCCAAGCGGTTCACGCGCTGACGGTACGCTTCGGTGCTTAGTTCGTGGAAGTAGTATTCAGTCACGAACTGGTTCATATCCTTGTTGAGACCATCGAGCCAGTCGGTCGTGGCGGGCAGGTAGCCAACTTTCTTGAAGTCGACGCAGTTGGGGATGAAGTCGCGCACGGGATGGCTGATGAAGAGGTCGGCCTGCTTGACGTGATTCCAGACCCAGTCCCAAACTTCCGCTGTGGGCGTGCCCGGCTGATCCGCAAGATCGGAGCGAACCTGGATGTGGCTCCGGAAGATGACTGGACGATCTGGATCCACCTTCTTGGAGATCGCGACCAAAGAGGGCATCTGCGGGTCATCCACGATGATGACATCAGCACCGCCCTGAGAGCGTGGCGCGAGCGGACTTCCCGGCTTGAGCCAAAACCGGTCGGCATTGCCCTGGCACCACTCATCAAGAGTCTCCTTCATGTCATCGGTGAGGCGCTCCTTGGGATTGGCGACCCCCTGGAGTATGTTGTGGTTCGTCTTCGTGATACGGAAGACTTCGGGCTTCGGCTTCGGTACGTACCAATGAGCATCCACACCAACAAGGCGGAAGAACCGGATAAGCGCATGGCGCATGAGAGCAACCCCACCGCCTTGGGGTGTGCTGTTGAAGAAGGCAATCTTCGTTTTGTTCTTCTTGATTGAGGTCACGTATTTCATGGTGGCATCCCACGTCCTTTCGCCGACGGTACCCGGGTACTGATCTAGAGAGGTGATCTGGGCATGGCCCATGGAGTCGACTTCGACGACGTTCTTGTAGCCAACCTGGACTCTCGGTTGCAGATTGGGACCAAAGAACATCAACGACTTCCGGGCCATGGAATCGGCTTCTTCGTCGATGGTGACTACCTCGGCAGGTCCCCCGTTGGGATTCTCCAGTCCATGCTCGAACACCAACGGTACTATGTCCAGCTCCCACCAAAGGCGCGAGGGTAGTTGCGGGCTGAGGCTAACCAATGTCTTGGTGATTCCGGCGCCGACGAACTTGTAATGGTGTTCCTTCTGGTAATTGAGGACCTTGGAGAGGAAGAAGTCTGACAGCACCTTCTCTCGGTCTTCCTCAGCCAACGGCAGGGCCGGAGTGTGAGAGCGGGACGCGGAAGGCGAGTCACTGCTGCTCGAGGTGCCATTGTCACGCTTGTCGTCCCCGAGAACCCAGACAGCAAAGTCAATGCTGTAGGTTCCATCGTGAGAAGCGATGCCAATCTCAATCAAGCCGTGGTGGTCCTGTCTCGCCGAAAGACCTAGGTAGAGAGTCTGTGATGGTCAGTGGTGAGTGGTGAGCACCCTTGGAGGGCAGTCGCGGCCCAGCTTACATTGAGCGCGACACCGTAGTCTCCCTTCTCTTGGGCTTTCTCGAGTCTCTCGAGGTGCTTTGTGGCACCTTTAGCCTCGAACTGATGCCGAGCCTTTGTATGCGCATGGGCGGCGGTAGCACCGGCCCAGGTGGCGCGGCGGTTGTGCTGCCGGTTGGCAGCGTCACTTGGGCGAAGTGTATCAGACATTGAAGCAAGGAAGTATGCCCACGCAACGTGAAGAGTGAGCTTGTGTGCGGAGGGTTGCGGTCGAACGTGAGCGAGGGCTTATAAAGGGCAGAAGACACGTGTGAAGCAATTGCTGGTGAAAGGCAGTGCAACGGACGCAAGGGTCCTCGGGGGTCACTCCACGGAACTGGGCGGATCGCGAGCAGCGCGTGACGGGGCGACACGCGGTGCAGGGCCAGAGGACAACACAAGGCAAGTGAGAGCGTGGAATTTCCGCTACCGAGTCGTCTGCTCGAGGCGCGAGAAGTTCTAGGTGCATAAAGGAAGCGAAGTCAGCATGACGTCGACTGATGCGTTCCTGGGGATGGTTCCCTTGGGCCATCGCGATCGCAGCCGGGATCCCTGCGGAACCTGCGGAGGAGAGTCACAGTGGGCCAGTAGCACAGCTCGCCCCGCGCCGCGACGGTACTCGGAGACCGAGAATGCGCAGGCGTGCGGCGCAGCAGGCTTCCATCCGTCAGGAGATCTCAGGCCGGAAGTAAGCCTGGCCTCGCCGCGGCGGAGCCCCAGCAGGCACCCGTCTGCTACCGATCTGCTTCCACCGCCGTTTGGATCCTATTTCTACACAGTGAGCCTTGCGGGCGCAGTTGTATGGTGGTACAGCTGCACCATCCACAGGCCATCTCACGCGTTGCACCGGCAGGCGGCCGTGCGTCCGGGGTCGCAGTGGCGGGACCGCTGTAGCGGGGCGCCAGTAGTGTCTCAGCGCCGTTGGATGGGAATTCCGAGCGAGCATTATTGATGAGGAGCGCGTGTGTTTGCGTGCGGAGAGGCGGTTCGGGTGCTGCGGCGAATGGAGCAGTGTGTGCCCACCTGCTGCCCAGCCGAGCCACATACCTCATGGCCCCGCGCCGGCCACAACCCAGGGTTCCACGCGCCGAACAGAACACCGCTGGGCGAGGTGACGCTATCCAGCCTCGGTAAACAAGCAGCGGCCCACCAGTACCAGCGGCCATCGACTTGGTTGGGGCCTGCTCCAGCCAGGGCCCAGTCGGTCCGCAAAGACACTGCACACCACCATCCGCCCGTTGGGGGCCGCAGCCTCATCCTGGAGTGCGCCTGGCCGGAAACGTCTGCTGTGGGACGCACATGGTTTTTGTTGCGGCTCGTGGCTGGATGGTGTTTTGCTCTGCGAAACGGGGAGTCGGCAACGGTGGGCGCACGGCTTGCGGGCGACCGGGGAAATATTCTGGCAGCAGCGGTGTTGGAGCTGGCCTGGGCTGTGGGCAGCGGAGCGGACTGGGCGCGGCAGCGTTGGGCTTGTCTTTCGGGACGTCGGCCAGGCAGGCTTGGCGCCTGCCACGGGAGTGCTAGCCGCTCCTGGCGTAGCGGGTCATGCCTGGGACCCACCTAGCACGACCGCTGCAAGTGCCCCGGGCGGCGGGCGCTACCTTCTCCCGCCTGCCTCCAGCCTCTGCGCTTCGCTGGCCAGCCTGTGTCGTCTCCTCTCCCCGAATCCGCCCACGCATCCAGCGACGCCAACTCCACGCACTCCTCCATCCAACCCCCATCCGACCACCACCTCCCCGGCCTCCCCGCAGCCTCTGCCTGCCTGCGCCACTCGCCGGACCATTTGCCGACGAGCTCGCAGCTCGCTGAGATCAGCCTTGCGCCGCGACTGTGCTGAAATCTCCGCCCGCCGGTCGAGCCCTGCACCACGCGCGCATCCCGAGCTTCTCGCACACTGCCGTCGCGTCATTGGCCTCGCGCCCGATTTCGTCTCTGCTCCAGTCCGCTACACCCTCCGAATCGCATAGCTGTCTGGACGAGAGGCGCGTATCGCCAGATCCACCACCATCATGTACAACGCTCATCGCGGCATGGTGCCGGGCGCGCAGCCCAACCGCCTGCAGGAGCTGCTTGACCAGGTCCGCCAGGAGTTTGAGAACGAGGCGGGCCGCGCCGGCGAGATGGAGCGCCAACGTGAGTTTGCTCGAGCTCCCTTCTGCTGCACCACATGCATTTGTCCTCCGTTTGGGCGCCAACGCCTCTTTGTGCTTTCGAGCACGTCTTCTGTTTGACGTCTAGACGCCACTCCTGCTCGTCGCTCAGAAACGCGCTCCGCACCCTCCCCCTCGCCGTATTGACGCGTTGCAATCCCTCCCCCGCCGCCAACATGGACTGCAACCATGACTACGCGTTGTGGACCGATGCTAACTTCATTCGCAAAGTCGCTACCCAGTTGCAGGAGATGGATCTTGTTCGCACCAAGATTTATCAATTGGAACAGGCGCAGATCGCCATGAAGGCCAAGTACGTTGTGGCATGATCCCTCGCGCACTGCTCCCACTGACATGCTCGACAGGTATGAGGAGGAGCTTCAGCGCCTGCAGCGGCAGCTCGATGCCGCCGGAGGACCTTCGCACTCGTCCCACGTGGGCGGCTCCCAGCACGGTGGCCCTTCGCAGCCTCCGCCTGCAATTGGCCACGGTGGAGGCACTCTGTTTGGCGGAATAATGGCAGGAGCAGGAGGACAGGGAGGACCCGGCCTGGCTCCTCCTCCGCAGGAATCGCAGCAGCCTCAGGGGCTTCCTCACGGCGCGCCTCAGGGCCCTCCAGGCCTCAATCCTCCTCCGGGTCCGCCGCAGCACCCGTTCGGTGGGTACCAGCCTGGTCCCAGTGGCGTCAACGGTAGGCAGATCCCTCCGAATCCATACGCGGATGGCCGTGAGAACCCCGTTCGATTTTCTATCCTTCGGGCGCTCAAGCGGCTGGCAATTGCCTCGCCTTGGATGCGCGAGCTCCTGTTTTCCAGACGTTTTGCGCCGATGTTGAATGTTCTTCGACTAACTCCACGCCACAGGTTACGGTCCCCAGGGTGCGCCACAGCCCACCGCCTCGCCTGGACCTGGAAAGCCCAGGCCCGTTCGTGGTCCTCCTGGTCCCCCCACTCCTCAGCAGAACTCGGCCGCGCCCTACCCCGGATCTCCCCAGGTCCCGCGCCCCACTCCCCCTCCCAGCCAGCTTCATGAGCCGCCGAATGCCCTTGCTGCTTCCACCCCAAACGTTGGCAACACCCTGGCTGAGCTGGACCCCGAGCATGTGGATGAGAGGTTCAAGAGGGAAGGCGGAGATTGGTTCGCCATTTTCAACCCCCGTGTCCGCCGCGTCCTGGATGTCAACTTGGTCCACACCTTGCCACACCAGAGTGTTGTCTGCTGCGTCCGCTTCAGCGCCGACGGTCGCTACGTCGCGACCGGATGCAACCGCTCCGCCCAGATCTTTGACGTTCAGACTGGTCAGCTGCGTGCTCACCTTCAAGACTCTTCGCTTGGAGAGGATGGCGATCTCTACATCCGCAGCGTCTGCTTCAGCCCCGATGGCAAGTTCCTTGCTACGGGCGCTGAGGACAAGATTATCAGGGTATGTCAAGAGAGATGTGTTGTTGCCGGGACGGAGGCTAACCCAGTTTAGGTTTGGGATATTGAGACGCGTTCGATCAGGCACCAGTTCTCCGGCCACGACCAGGACATCTACTCTCTCGATTTCGCTCGCAACGGCCGCCTGATTGCCTCGGGAAGTGGAGACCGCACCGTTCGTCTCTGGGACATCACCACCAACCAGCAGGTGCTCCAGCTCTCGATTGAGGACGGTGTCACAACCGTCGCTATTTCGCCCGACAACCGCTTCGTTGCTGCGGGCTCTCTCGACAAGAGCGTCCGCGTCTGGGACACGAGCAGCGGCTACCTCGTCGAGCGCCTGGAGGGTGATGTTGGCCACAAGGACAGCGTTTATTCGGTCGCGTTTGCGCCAAACGGCAAGGACCTCGTCAGTGGCTCCCTGGATAAGACCATCAAGATGTGGGAGCTGTCAACGCCGCCACGCAACATTCCGGGCGCTGCACCAAAGGGCGGCAAGTGCATCAAGACGTTCGAGGGCCACAAGGTGAGCACGCTTTGAAACACTACGACTTGGTGGAGATGTTGCTGACAAGGGCTTGTAGGACTTCGTTCTCAGTGTTGCCTTGACCCCAGATGGCGCGTGGGTCCTTTCTGGATCCAAGGACAGGGGTGTGCAGTTCTGGGACCCTGTCACCGGTGTCGCTCAGCTCATGCTCCAGGGCCACAAGAACTCTGGTATGTCGCAAAAAGTCGAATCTTGCGGTCTCAGACAGAGCGCTTGCTAATGATTGGGTAACAGTCATCTCCGTTGCTCCCAGCCCCATGGGCAATCTGTTCGCCACGGGCAGCGGCGACATGCGCGCAAGAATCTGGAGGTACGTACGAATATAGATGTTGTCGTTTGACAGTGCGAGTTGCATCTCGGCCGGAAGCCGCACGGCAGCGCGGAACGTCGGCAGCGGCGTCTTCTCTTTGGCTGTTGTGTTACGAGGCCAACGGTTGTTGGTTTGGTTGCGTCGCTCTTTATCTCTTGCGCAATGAGATTTTTGATGGGCTGCGCTGTGGCTTGCCTTAGTCTAGTCACTAGACGATCTTCACGCATAACACCCCTACCTCGCATCGCGTCGGCAAGCCATTGGGGGAGTGCCACTGCGGCGCAGATTGCACAAGGTCATGCGCGGGCGCCGCGCCGCGCCGCGCGGTACCACGCAGCAGCATTCCCCTAGTCGCCAATAATGCCCGACCCGCACGCATGGACGATGCTTCCGCCCGGCTTGTGACGCCAGCTAATAATGTTGTTGCTTGCAGTTACGACACTTATCGCGGACCGCAGTAAGCGAAGCCGGCCACCGTCACAAGCAATGTATTGTTTTCTCCCGCCCGAGATATGCCCCCCGTCGACGCCGACTCGCACGAAAGAAAGACGGCACCCCGATTTGTGCGTCCAGCGGCTCGCGTTTGACGACAGGAAGCCAAGGCAGGAGCGCTGGGGTCGCACAGGCATTAGCTTGACGAGTCCCGGTCTCACGGCCTCCCTGTCTAATCGTCGCGCTAGCTACAGCTCACCGTTTTGAGGGTGGGTGGAAGGGAGCCCCAGTGGCTGCTGTTACTTTGTGTCTTTTTTCTCTTGTCCCCTTGTGCTCTTTAATCCTCGTTGGCCACGTGATGAGTGGAACTTCAGAGGCATGTGTGCGAAACGATAGTATTCCTTACTGTTTTCATGCCTACTACTCCCAAAGAAGATGCAAAATCTTGTCTTCCCCATGTGTTTGGTTGAAACGACATGCTTGCCCCTCCGCTTGTTCGCTGCGCCAGAGAAGTGGGGGAGCAAGGAGCGATGAGTTATCGGTGGGGTCGGTTGGACAAAAAGGAACGGTCAACTACTTCGTTTGTTTCTCATTTCATAGTTTAGGGAGAAAGCAAGGGTTCTTTTTCTTCTTCTTCTTCTTCTTCTTCTTTTCGTCTTGCGTGCTGTGTGCATGTGTGCGTGTGGCGCGTGGCGCGTGAGATACATAGGTAGCACAGCATGCGGTGTCTGTGTCAACGTTTGCCATGCGTTACCCCGGTTCTTTTCCTCGTACGGAGTACACCACGGCCTAGTTTAGCGTGTCCTCTCCGGTCGGTCTGATTCGGAGATGTTGCCTTGTAGTTTTGCGGTGTTTGCGAGGACGGTTGGTGTCGCCGTCGGAGGAACATGCTGGGAGGTGGATGTCTCTACTTACTTTGCCGCACATCACGTAGCTCTCGCTCTCGCCCTTCTTCACTTTCACCTCACATGTCGACTTCTGCCTGATCCTTGTGCCACGACGCGTCTTTTCCCCCTTCCCTCCCTTGCATGCAGGCTCACATGGCGCGCGTTCTGCAGCATCCTCCTCCCCGAGATGGCGGCATCTTCTTGCCCTTTTGCCGGCGGCATTGCCGGGCATGACCTGACCACGAATCCCAGACGTGCAGACTTTACAGCTCAACGCAAGTTTCAGGGGGAAATGTCGCCGTTTTTGGAGGTTCGTGACGCCGTTTTTGTCGAACTTGCAAAAGTACGACGCCGCACTGTTACTAGTGCGTGCTGATATGCCTTGTATGCCGACACGCCCCTGCGGCGAGGTGCTTGAGGCGCAGGTGGAGAGTCTGAAAATGAATTGTAGCTAGTGGTGGTGAAGTTGCTCTGAAATGCTGTTGTTGGCCTCGGCGACACTCGATGACTCATCAGGGCGGTGGCCGGAACATCTCCACCATGGCGCTTTACTCCACACTCTCACAACACCTTATAAGAGCATCACCCCTCCTGCCTTGTATCACCATGGCTCGCGCCTACCGATCTGCTTCTGCTAAGAACCACCAAGGCTGCTGTTCAGCATCGCTGGCACGCGGTATGTTGTCGCCCAGGTCGTTCTATGTGCGCGCTGACCGTTTCATAGCAGAGCGGCCTCAAGGGATCAGGAAATCAACGCCAATACGTAGGAGCGCACGTCTCCAGCAGCGCCTCCCGCCCGAACAAGTCCACCAGTCGTTCATTGTGCATGACAGCAACGGCCAAGACGCTCAGGTCAGCCTTTTTCTCTGGCCGAACTGCGCATCAAGCTTACGGGGCAATAGTTGCAATCCACGACCATACAGTCCACGGAACGAAAGCGCAAACGCTCTCCCGAGATAGACACGTCGGACCGACCCGCGCACAAGCGGCAGCGACCGTCTCCAACAACGACAGAGGCACTGCACGAGGAAACGGCGAGCGAGAGCGGGGATAGCAACAATCCTATCGACTACTGGCGGAAGCACCTACACTGGCCGCGGCAATTCTTCGAGTCTGGCAGCAAAATGAGTCACCTTCTTGCGAGGAAGAAGTCCACTTCGGCACTTCGCCGGAAGTCATCGGCGTCGTCGATCAACTCGAGCGATACTACTCCCACGCAATCCGACCAGATACCGAGGGAAGCAAAAAGCATGCCGTACAGGGACGCGAGATACGAGACACTTCTCGAGGCAAAGAACAGTTTCCTGCGCAGGGATGACGCCGGCGTGAAGAAAGAGGCGAAAAAGCTGTGTCGGGATCTCCTCGAGACCGAACAGGCAGTACCCGAAGACACGCTATTTAGCGATGACATTTTTGAGGAAACCTGCGAGATGATGCGGAAGAGAAACGAAGCTCGACTCGTCCGCGATATTACGTTGTTGATTGTTCCTTCGGCGGAAATACACATGATACGTCGTCCTCGACATTCAAGAATTCTGGTAGAAACTGTTAATGAAGGCTGGAACAGCTCGATCCCCGTTACATCCCCACGCCCGCAACCGGACTACTCGGCTGGATTCCGGCGCGAGGCCTTTACAGCGGACCAGCTAAAACTTCTCGGGCCCTTCGTCGGGACTCTATGGGACGAATCATACTTCGCAGCGACATGGTATATGTACTTCCCCTTTCTCACCTGCGAGGTCAAGTGCGGCGCGGCGGCGCTGGACATCGCAGATCGGCAGAATGCGCATAGTGCGACGCTCGCGGTGCGGGCCGTAGTAGAGCTATTCCGGCTGGTAAAGCGCGAGCAGGAGATCGACCGCGAGATCCTGGCCTTTTCTGTGTCGCACGACCACAGGATGGTCCGCATCTATGGGCACTATCCTGTCCTCGACGGGAGGGACACGAAATACTACCGCCATTTGATCCACACCTTTGACTTCACGGCTATAGATGGCAGGGAAAAGTGGACGACCTACAAGTTTACCAAGAACGTCTACGACAACTGGATGCCCGACCACTTTAAGCGAATCTGCTCCGCCATCGACGAGATCCCTCCCGACATCAGCTTCGATGTCTCGCAAGAGTCGGAACTACAGTTTTCACGGACGGGTCTCTCGCAAGACCTAGAGAGCCAACGTCCTTCACAGGTAGAGGGTTCGGCTTCGGTTGCTGGTGACGGTAGCGTGTCAAGCGTTGCAAATGCTAACAACACAACTCCTAACACGTCTGTTTCCCAGAGTTTCAAGAAGCCAAGGAGGCTTTGATGGCAAGGCAGCCCCTCTTCACACGACTAACAATGTGGCGTTTCTATTAATCATTTTTTTCCCAAGGGGGGGTTTTTGGTTCTTTTGGTGTGACGTGGTTCATCAGCGAGCGACGCATGTCCATATCAGTAAGCGACGTGCCAGGTCGATTAGGCAGTGTCAAATGTCTACAGTTCCGACTAACTTCAATTGATTTCTGCGACGTAAACATCATATCAGTGGTTTTTGCAAGTACCTCGTCATGAAACGTTCGCTGGGCGGGGAGAGTGTGCGGCGGCCAGCTGCTTACTTCGCCTTGATGGGGTTCTCTTTTGTTTGTTTTCTCCGCTGTTCCAACAGTTTGCCCGACGTCGTCCACTTCAGTCACACACGGCGGCGGTAAAGGAATCAAGCATGCCACCCAGTAGTGTTTGTAGTAGGATTGTATTCGCATAATATCAGAATGCCCCCCCTTGACCTTGTCAGCCTCCAACAGTAGAACATGCTACCTGGTGCCGCCCAAAAAAGATAACAATAGAGAATGAAGTGGTTGGGAAAGGAAAAGGGTTCGGAAAAAAGAGAGAATCAAGGGAAAGTCGCCGGGGGGCGCTGTGAGTGACGGTCCCGGCCTTTGCGCTCTTGTGCCATGCAAGAGGCGGGCCGGGGTCCGGCACTCATCGCGCGTGCGGCGCGGGCTTTGTGAGTGTATTGGGCTTCCGCTAGGGGTCTTGGAAGGTCAGCAAGTGGGTCTTGGTAGAAGGGTGGGAGTTTGGTTGTGGAACTCACTTTGCTTGTCACAGAAGCAGCCACAGCAGAGAAGCTTCAGGCAATCTTCGAAGCCGTCCATGTCGATGGTATGCTTGATGAGCTTGTGGTTTGGGGTTTGATCGGAGTTGTGTTGATGTTAGTTTCGTGGAGTGGATGTCGTGCAGTAGTGTGTGCTTGGTGTGGAGAAGGAATGGAGCGGTATATATAGTTGGTGTGGTTTGCCAAAGCATTCGGCCCCGTGAAGAAAACAACGAGCGGGGCGGGCGGGTGCCGCATGTTCCAATAAAGCAAGATTTTCGTATCGATGTGGTTAGATTCCACATCAGCTCCTTCGCTGCGGATCCGGCACTGCTGGTGCATGAGTCCCCACATGTGATGCACCTCGCGCTAAAGTGAGTATCAGTCACGCGGCCAATGGCCCGCCCGATCCTGCGGCTATGCCTCAGTAAGTATCAGGGGGACTGTCAGCATCTACAAGGTTTGTGATCAGCCGCAATGATGTTCTGCATCACGCCAGCCGACCCACTGTTTGTTTGCCTCCCGCACCTTCATGCGCCCTTTCACTGCTTTCATGGCCGCCACCTTGGAGTCACTGCTTACTGGCGAGTGGCGCCCGGAAACCCCGCTCGAGACACCGATGGCCTCGGCTACAGGCAGTGCGCCGTATTGCATAGATTCGTCACCATACGTATAATATACGTGGACTTGTACGCCTCCCCGTGAATCAGCTCGATCTTGTACTCGTATCTAATGGACAACGCACGCGGAAGGCACTGAGGCTACACGCACCCGATTGCCTCAAGCGCTTGTTTGTTTTCTGCAGCGAACATACGTGCTGCCCCGGCGTTCGTAGTCGAGCATCTCCCCCTGATAACGCTACGTTGCCGACTCCGAACTTCCAAATTGCGGACTCCGCCGTCGACGACTTCGACAAACACTGACGCCAGCTAAAGGCAAACTTCAGCATCTACATCGACACCACCGAAGACCGAAAGGCCGTCACTCTTCAGCGGCGAACAGTGTACAGCAAGCCGTCCAATCTCGCCTGGCAACGTCCAGGCGCCCGCGAGCCCCACAGCGTCTGTCCGACGACTCCATGCACGATCGGCGAACCTTGAACAAACTCCATCGCAGAGATCAGAATGGCGAATGCCTGGCCAATCCGCCACGTTCGCTGATCCAGAGGTCGTAGCTCCTCCTCCGCCGCAGCACGGCATCGTCGACGCCGTAGTTCCGATATTGCATTTTGATGCGAGGGCTGAGGGGTTCAATGATGGCAACACTAGCTATGAGCGCCACTAACGGTCACTGGCCGGTGGAGGAAAGCGTGCGGCGTGGCCGGCGGCACCGGGGTGCAGGTCTCTCTGAAGCCCTGTATGGAGAAGTTCGGGCGCCGGTCTGGGAAACCTGTCCGCCCAGGGAGGCCTTGACAGGCCATTGGGTGGCTGGAAGTGCTTATTTCAAGATCTGAAGAATCCGCGTGTGGATTTGAACAGGCGGCGATAGGTGGTCTCGAAGTGGAGGTTGTGCTTCCCCGCTCAAGTCCATGCCTACCAACGAACTGTGATTGTTGAAAGCCCAGCTCCATTGGCTGAGCGAGTTCTTCACATCGAAAGAAGAGACCATCACCAATATGGTGCCGACCAAGAACGAGAAGAAAGCGGATCAAAATATCCGGCCTTTTGGAGGGTATGAAAAGGGGTACATATACTTTGTCCGCTACTTCACCTGCCATATACGACCATAGGTCATGCAAATGCAACTCTGTCCGAGCAAACATGCTAATATGAAATGCCTATCCATTGGAAGTAACAACAAGAGCAGCGAACATGAACAAGTACCTGCAAATGACTCCGCAACTACGCCAACCCCGCAAGACCCAAAGCCTAATCCATTCCACCTACAAATCGTCACAACTCAACCCATCCACGCAGCCTCATCCAGACACAGTGCCGCACTGCCTCCTCTTCCCTACTCCCCTTCCAGTCTCCCACCCCTTACACACCCTTTCCAATTCTCACTGCTTCATCCAGCCGGGTCTTCACTGTCTCTTTCGTCGTTGCGAAATCCATTCCTTTGCCGACTCCTCCGATGTTCTCATTGTTTCTTTGAGAGAGGAAAAACTCCAAGATTTCAACCAGGCAACGGGACGGAAATTCAAGGCCGACATCAGAAACCTGCGCGTCTTCAAACGCTCATTCTGCTCAGCAGCTGTGGATCCTGTTGGGTCTCCATGAGCGGGACCTTTTACGGCTGTGCTATCAACCTTTTTCTCTGATGGTAATGTCAGCACTCACATTCTATACGTTAATGCAAGCATTGCTACTTACCAGGCGCAGCCCTGAACAAGTCCCAGACGCCGATCAACATCACGTACAAAACGTAAAAAAATGCGAAAGTCAGTAGCCAGAGAAGTAGGGTGAAGCATTTCACAACGAAATGCAACACTTTCCAAGCACCTTTACTTGTCTTTTTGGTGACATACAGCACAAGTCCCATACAGATCATCATCGGTCTTGTTCTGAGACTAAGCTGCTGAGCCTCAGCTTGTGGATCACTTTCGTATGCCGTGTGTTCTCCGCCTGCGTTCTCCTGCGTCCCAGACACCATTTTCGGGGCTTTTTTAGACGAACTCTGCTCCTGGTCTTCGGATTTGGTCGTCTCCATAGAGGTGAAAATTGCGTTGTTTACCATATGCCGGATGGGTAATTCAAGAACGATGTAGGTGGCCCGGAGCCGAATGTGTGAAAGCTGTTTGTGGAGCCGCTCCAGTCGTCTCTCCGTGCGGGGCGTTCCCACTGCCGTCTGGGTAGTCTCTGCAAGTCGCTCTCTTCTGTATGTCTCTACCAAAATGCTCCTTTGTGCCAGTCTGACAGGGAAATCCTTGATTTCCCGCGAAACCACGCGGATCATTTTTACCATCGGCTTTGCACTGACTAGAGCAACGATGGTTAGGCACAGTGCAACAACAGCTGTGACTATCATGCTGACCAGAACCGGTACGGCCGGAGTCTCGCTCATGCTGAAAATGCTGGCCGCGAACCCAAGAGGCAAGAAAACAACGGTGACATAGGTAAAGAAGCGGACATCCTCGGCGTTTTGGAAGTTGATCTCGTCCAATTTTGTTTGTCTCCTGCTTTGAAGAGAAGAGCGCCAAGATTGAATGCTCTTCAAGAAACTGTCCAGTTCTCGTAAGTTCCTTTGGTTGCAAGCAACAATCTTGCTGATTGTTCGTCGGTACTTGTGTTCGTCCTTCTTGCTCCATCGCGGCTGTTCCACGCCTCTTTCTTCTTCTCGATTCTTCCAGTTTTGAGCCTCATCCATTATGGCGTTGAGGTCCTCTTCCATGGCGTGAAGAATTTCGTCGGTCTCCATCCATTGCCTCGAAGACATGAGAGAGTTGCTGTCGCTAGGGACTGTCGTGGAAAAAGTGAACGTGTCTTTCCGAACGCCGAGCTCATGCTTGATCTCATCTACGATCCCTTTGACAGACCGAGTAATCTCGTCCAACATCCTGTCGAAAAGAACAAGCTCTAATATCCTCCGTTGCTTCCAGTAATCCATCGAATCATTCCGCAAGCTTTTATGCTGAATCGGACTCAGAGGTTGATGTTGATCAAACGGACCCCAGTAGTAGTCTTCGTCAGACTTTGCCAGAAGATAATCCACTATGTGGCACGTCCAATAACGATCCCAAAAGTCGCCAACAAACCGAAAGCCCATCGTAGCACGGCTGATCTTCTTTCCACGGATTTCGGGTACACCCTCTGCGACAGAGTCCGGAATT